AGGGGCAGTCAGGGGACAGGGAGAAGAGGTAGTTGGATGGGGCAGGGGTCCCAGCGGGGCCATCAGGAATGAGAGGAGGGGTTGGATGGGGCAGCGGAGGTCCGAGGGCAGTCAGGGGACGGGGGGGTTGGATGGGGCAGGAGTCCTGGGGGGGGGGGGCACGACCCCCTCCCCTAACCGGCCCTCCATACAATTTACGAAACCCGAAGCGGCCTTCAGGCCAAAAAGTTTGCCTGCCCCTGCCTTAGAGACTAACAAATTTATTTGAGCATAAACTTTCGTGGGCTAAGCTAAAACCCACTTCATCGAATGCATGCAGTGGAAAATACAGTAGGAATATATATATATATATGAAATATAAAAAAATGGGGGTTGCCATACCAACCGTAACAAGAGTAATCAATTAAGGTGGGCTATTATCAGCAGGAGAAAAAAAACACTTGTAGTGATAATCAGGGTGGCCCATTTCAAACAGTTGACAAAAAGGTGTGAATAACAGTAGGGGGAAAATTAGCAGGGGGAAATAGTTTTTACTTTGTGTAATGACCCATCCACTCCCAGTCTTTATTCAAGCCTAATTTAATGGTGTCCAATTTGCAAATTAATTCCAGTTCTGCAGTTTCTCGTTGGAGTCTGGTTTTGAAGTTTTTTTGTTGGAGAATTGCGACTGTAATTGAGTGACCAGGGAGATTGAAGTGTTCTCCGACTGGTTTTTGAATGTTATAATTCTTGATGTCAGATTTGTGACCATTTATTCTTTTGCGTAGAGACTGTCCGGTTTGGCCCATGTACATGGCAGAGGGGCATTGCTGACACATGATGGCATATATCACGTTGGTAGATGTGCAGGTGAACGAGCTCCTGATGGTGTGGCTGATGTGATTAGGTCCTATGATGGCGTCCCTTGAATAGATATGTGGACAGAGTTGGCACCGGGGTTTGTTGCAGGGTTTGGTTCCTGGGTTAGTGTTTTTGTTGTGTTGTGTGCACAGGAGAGGTTAATCTCTAAGGTGCCACAAAGCAATATTCAGGTTACTCTCAGTCCCAAAGGATCAGTCACTTACCCCAGTCTGTTCTACCGAAGATCTTTACACCGAAGACAATGCTTGTAGCCAATCCTGTAATAAACTATATACAGATTTATTAAATAGGAAAAGGAACTAGAGTTATTTGCAAGGTTAAAGCAGGTAAGCAGAGATACAAATGAGCTGCAGTCTTAAGTTTCAAAAGGTAAGAGAAGCTCCTATATGTCCTTTCGGGCTACCCCAGGCTAAGCACTGAGGACCTCTTGCCTATGCTGGTAAACCTGCCCCCCGATTCCAAGCAGCACAGAGATACAGTTCCTTCTTGTTAGCATTGTGCTCTGAGCTGCAAACTCAGCTGATGGGCGGAATCCCTTTGCATGACTCAGCTTCATGTGGTGTGGAGGGCAAAACAACAAATGTCTTTTGTCCTGTTTATCATCCCACAACAGTCTGTCTGGTGTCGCTGGACCTGTGGGGCTGGACGTAACACTTTCAGCTGCAGATCAGCACTTCGCACCAGTCAGTGTCTCTGTCCCGTTTGGTGATTTACACCAGTGGTTCTCAAAGCCGGTCCGCTGCTTGTTCAGGGAAAGCCCCCGGCGGGCCGGGCCGGGCCGGTTTGTTTAACTGCTGTTTCCGCAGGTTCGGCCGATCGCGGCTCCCACTGGCCGCGGTTCTCCACTCCAGGCCAACGTGGGCTGCAGGAAGCAGCGCGGGCCAAGGGATGCGCTGGCCGCCCTTCCCGCAGCCCCCATTGGCCTGGAGCGGTGAACCACGGCCAGTGGGAGCTGCGATCAGCCGAACCTGCGGACACGGCAGGTAAATGATTGTTTCTGTCTGTGTACATAAAGATATATACACACAAAAGATATACTGGCATTAGAAAAGGTTCAGAGAAGGGCAACTAAAATGATTAGGGGTTTGGAATGGGTCCCATATGAGGAGAGATTAAAGAGGCTAGGACTTTTCAGCCTGGAAAAGAGGAGACTAAGGCGGGATATGATAGAGGTATATAAAATCATGAGTGGTGTGGAGAAAGTGAATAAGGAAAAGTTATTTACTTGTTCCCATAATATAAGAACTAGGGGCCACGAAATGAAATTAATGGGCAGCAGGTTTAAAACAAATAAAAGGAAGTTTTTCTTCACACAGCGCACTGTTAACCTGTGGAACTCCTTGCCTGAGGAGGTGTGAAGGCTAGGACTATAACAGGGTTTAAAAGAGAACTGGATAACTTCATGGCGGTTAAGTCCATTAATGGCTATTAGCCAGGGTGGGTAAGGAATGGTGTCCCTAGACTCTGTTTGTCAGAGGGTGGAGATGGACGGCAGGAGAGAGATCACTTGATCATTGCCTGTTAGGTTCACTCCCTCTGGGGCACCTGGCATTGGCCACTGTTGGTAGACAGGATACTGGG